AAACCTTTGACCGACCGATATCGGTTACGGTTATGACCGGTCATTGACCGGTCATAACCGTAACCGACCCACCCCTAGCCACGTGCTTCCGGGATCACGGTTTCACTGCTCACACCATAAAACTATTTTTAGGTTTAAACGAAAATAACTACATTAATTTTTAATATAAACTACGCAATTTCAAACTCAACTTCAATACGTATAATTTAAATTTTGCACTATATTGTATTTTATACTCTAGTATAAATTAAGAAAATTTTTTTAAATAAATATGCTATTACAAAACTTTTAGATTATATTCAAAAATAATTAACCATATTACTATATTAAATTGATTATTAAAAACATATTCTAATCAAGAACCAGATAACTAAAACAAATTATAAAGAATTAAAAAAATTATAATAGTATGTTCTTGTTAGAATTATAAATCAAAAAGGAACTATCTTATTTTTCTATCATTTTTCTTTGACTAATATCACGTAAAGTGACGATTAATATTTAAGTTGATTACCAATAATCACCATATGCGATTTTAGTAAAAAAAATTGTCAGAGAAATAATATGGACCTGTTAAAAACAATGGATTGAATATATACCCAAAACAATCTACAATTTATATTTATTAAATTGTTATTTTAAGAATAAAATAAAGACTGTAAGAACACGAATGAATTATATCACATGAACTAAACCTCCATTACCAATGTTATCAAATTTTACTTCGAATATTATTTTAGAGCTTCTAGTAAATTTCTAACAGTAAAAAGTTTAATGGTATTATTAATTTTAACTTCCAATGAATTCCAATAAGTTTTAGTGACTTTCTATTGACAACACTGTCAATCGCAAATTTTCCTTGTATAATTATATCATCAATTACATCTGTAAAATTTCTATAAGCAATACAGTAACTTCTTAATATTTAATTAGCAAGTAGAATATAAAAACTATTATTTGAGTTATTCGACCTTCAACTCTTCTATTACACTATCTAAAATAAATAATTATAATTATTTATTTTAAAAACTTTTATTAAATCAAATATAGTATAAGGGACACCATTAATAAATCAATTGACATAAAGTAGGTGTTCCTTATACTGTATTTGATCTAAATTTATTAATAAATAAAAAGAGTTTTACAGTAATTACCTTGATGATGTGATGTAGTATAATTAATAAATTTACTTTTATAAATGACTTCCGAATATGCTTGCATTTGCATATTTTTAACATTTTCTAATATATCTTTTGATTTATCTAACTCTAATAAAATATTCTTATCATTTTGCCATTTGGTAAAAATTTC